AGCTCAAAATAAATATCCTCCAAAACTGGAAATTTTTATTCAGAAAACGTAATGAAAAATTTTTGATAACAAAAATTTCTCCCTTTTCCCAAAATATACTTACTTTAAGTTTGTACCAAGAGAACAAAAACTACTGCAAGTACTTTTTAAATCTTTCAAGCATTTCTATTATTTTTTCTGCAATATGAACAACATAAATGATGATGCACTGTGGCATAAATGTTTAAAGGCATATCCTTGCAATGATCAGCATAATTCCTTCATAGCTTTTTGTCTCAAGAGCAATGTAGCAACTCATAACCCATGCAATAAAGGCTTCATAACTGTACCACTGCATCATGTATTCTCCCTTGCATGCACACACAGAAACATTGATAGATAAAACATCTATCTAAATATCTCGCTCATTTTAGACTTTTTGTGCTGCTCAGAGGAATAATGCTAATAAATTCTCTAGTGTTAGAACTATCTATCTGTGTTGGAGAGCCAATGTACTTCTGCATTCCTGTTATTCTCATTGGACAGACAGTCCTTTGGGGACTGTTGCAGTCTTATTTGCATTAGAGACAACCTGAGGATGATGGAGCCTGAGAAATGCAAAAGTAGGATTGCTGCCAAGTTAGATGAGCAATCAACTACCTGACAAACCTTTACTCTGTTGCAACAAGAAGTTCTTGACTATTGTATACATGCTGTATATATAGTACACATCAATAGAGTAGAAAATTTAAGCAAGTAGTTATAACAAGCCACTTTGACTGCAATATCAACTTGCCATATCTTTATTCAGGTCCTCTCTGTACTTTCAAGAAGTGCTCAGTTTCTGATAGGATCAGGCACAGCATTTGGTCTTCACCTACTCTCGATCAAATCCTTGTCCAACGTTCCCCAGGCACAGCATTTGGTCTTCACCTACTCTTGATCGAATCCTTGTCCAACGTTCCCTTACATTAAATTATTGGAGATTGCCTATCTCCTAGAACTGGAAGGGACCTTGAAAGGTCATCAAGTCCAGTCCCCTGCCTTTACAACAGGACCAAGTACCATCCCTGATGAATTTTTGCCCCAAATCCCTAAATGGCCTCCATAAGGATTGAACTTACAACCCTGGGTTCACAGCAGGCCAATGCTCAAACCACTGAGCTATCCCTCCCCCCTTGATAAACAAGATCTGGTCCTGCTGTAATTTCTAGTATGATAATAGCACTAACAACGTCAAATGTTCAAGAAGAGTGAGCCAGTTCCCCCCCTCCACCTCCACCCATCAACAACTTTTTAAAATAGAAGTTTAAAAAGTTTGGGGTTATTTTAGTCACCTTCTGGATTTTGAGCTTCATGGGTTATGTTTTTAGGTCATGCTTTGCGATCATGAGGTCTCTACACTTCCTTTTCCTTTTAAGATGAAAGCAGAGCTCCTCACATAATTGCCTGGTTCTAGGAACTACAATTTTAGTAGCTCCCTCCACCTCCATCAAATACCATGGAACTGGTGAAAAAAAAATCACAGGAATGGCAACACTAATCCCCACAGTGTGCTAGCTATTGTCCAAACATATTCAGATACTTTCTCTACTCTGAATAGCTGCTGGGAGAATCATTAAATAAACTGGAAACTCATGCATTTTGGGCCCAATTCTCCAGTTTTGCTCGAAAATGGGGATGCAATATTAGGCATTTTGTGAACCTATATGAATATTTCTTACAGCCCCTTACCTGAAATGCATAGTTGTTTGGAAGCACATACGATATCTCATTTCTTAGTAATTCACGGACATTCTCAGATGAACTACATGGTGAAATCTGAAGGAGGCGTGAAGCTTTCGTTCCTGTTTAACAAGTTTAGTTTGTTGATGACTCTCCCATTTCTCCCTCCAGGGAAATTTCAAATGATAATAAGAAGAAATGGGTTGCCCTTTTGTCTGCCTTTCACATTACTCAGGCAATGCTAAAGGCACTGGAGAATGAACCTCCACTATTAAATATACTCTAACACACCATAAGGAAATTCCTTCCTAACTGAAAGAACTTAGAAGTACTTACTGAAATAAGATTCAGAAGTTTCACTAGTCTCCACCTTCAGTAAAGTCACACACAACTATTAGAGTAATATACATCCCTATTATTACACACACTGCAATACTACATAGGGAAGAGCATGTGCTCGGCACAAGTAGAAGCCTGTCAGAATTGTGGGAGGCAAGAGCAGGAGATGAACAATGGCTAGATAACAAACTGACTATCTCTAAAGGCGGCTTCCTACTGCCCAGGGTGCAGGGTGGGTCAGGACTAATTGGGACACCTCCCCTGTGCTAGAGTGTTTCCCAAGAACTGGTTAAGGAAGAGCTTTGCAGTCTCCTTATTTGCTGAGCTGGTGTAAAGGGATTGCAGTGGAGGTGAGAATAGGCGGGGGGCTTAATTGCTAACAGTCACTTGCAGTCAAGAAGCACAGGAACAGTTCAAAGCTAGTGATGGCAATGGAGCTAGCTTCCTAAAAGGGGTACAAGGTAAGGTCATGACCCAACCATGCAGCCTCCCATGTTGTTTTCCATAAAAGAGTGTCACAGGCTGGTTGGGCTCCACTCCTCTCATGGGGTTCCCATATGTCTTTACATATGTCTTTACACTCCCTGTGTTACAGGCCTGCACATTGAAGGCACAGACTATTCAGTTTAAGCTCATAGCCAGAATTCACATAAAATAGAGAGCTTACTAAACTCCATGATTCTTACATGCACAAAAGTATGTTTACAGAAGGCAAGTGTGTTGGTTAAAAACTAAACAGCATTTCAATTAGAAAAAGTTATGCAGTGCCCTTGATAACAGTAGGAAAAAATGTTCAAGGTTAATAGTGAATTATATCTCTATATCTCTATATCTGAAAGCAACTATGTTCAAGGTTAATAGTTTAATAGTGAATTATATCTCTATATCTGAAAGCAACTGAATGGAATAAGAACTTGATAAACAATGTGGGGAAAACTTTGCTCTGTGCTTGAGGCTGTCACTGAAATCAATGGGAATTGAAAGAATTTATCAAAGGGAAAATTTTAGTCTTTAGTTGTTACAGAACTTGATGTT